AAAATTAAAAATAAAAATAATAGTAGTAATAATGTAGGGAAGAGGAAAGGGAAGGAGAATAAAAGAAGGGGTGAAGAGAGAAATGAGAACGAAAGAAAAGTATTTGGGAATTGCTCGAATGGTCGCGTGGGTTTGGTTCCTACAGAAGAATTAGTAGGTAATGTGGGTGTATTAAGGAGAGAGATAGTCAGTGGTAGTTAGGAGGGAGTTGAGGGGTACTGAGGTTGGTGACTACCTGAGTACGTCCGTGGTAGTCCATGCGAGGTGACATAACTGTCTAATCGCCTCTTGAAAGAGTCGATTGAAGGAGCTATAACGATGTGTCGCGGTAAGGCATTCCATAAAGCACATACTCTCAGGGAGAAAAATTTGGACCTGAGTGTGGTGTTGGCTCTCTGGTGTGCTATCTTAAAGGGGTTTCCTCGTGAAGATCGTTCAGTTGCAGGCAAAATTGATTTGTTTGCATGGTCTGCCTGATGGGCGATCTTGTATGCCATAATGAGGTCACCCCTTTTCCTGCGATAACCCAAGGTAAATAGGTTGAGGTGTTTAAGTCTTTCAAAATACGTCTTTCCCCTTAGCCCCACAACTGATTTTGTTGCAGTTCTTTGTATTCTTTCAAGGAGATTAGAGTCTCTCTTGAGTGTTGGAGGAGCCACCGTATTGAAGACCTCTAGGTGCGGCCGCACGTAGGATTTGAAAATGGTAAGGAAAAGTTTTTTATTTATTTATTTTTATTTTAATTTTAATTTTTATTTTTTTTGAATTATTTTATTTTATTTTATTTTACTTATTTATTTATTTATTTTTTACTCTTCCTTATTTCTCTCTTCATTCCTTTACCACTACCTCACTATTCTCTTTCAGGTACCTACACAGACAGGAGTCACGGTTGTTCTCTAAACTTCCCAGCAGCCCGTAGCTCCCTAATCACTCTACAAATTACAACCTACTAACCCACAAAACATCCACCTCACCGAAGCTGAAAGCAAGAAAGCAGAGGGGATTTCCTCGTCCACTGCAGGAGTGAACCGAACAACTCGAACCAAGCCCTAAGAACTAGACGCGAGAGATCAAAAACTACTAGTTTTCTACGCTCGCACTATCAATATTGGATATTGGATATTGGAAATAAGTAAATAAACAAATAAATAAAATTAAAAATAAAAATAATAGTAATAATAATGTAGGGAAGAGGAAAGGGAAGGAGAATAAAAGAAGGGGTGAAGAGAGAAATGAGAACGAAAGAAAAGTATTTGGGAATTGCTCGAATGGTCGCGTGGGTTTGGTTCCTACAGAAGAATTAGTAGGTAATGTGGGTGTATTAAGGAGAGAGATAGTCAGTGGTAGTTAGGAGGGAGTTGAGGGGTACTGAGGTTGGTGACTACCTGAGTACGTCCGTGGTAGTCCATGCGAGGTGACATAACTGTCTAATCGCCTCTTGAAAGAGTCGATTGAAGGAGCTATAACGATGTGTCGCGGTAAGGCATTCCATAAAGCACATACTCTCAGGGAGAAAAATTTGGACCTGAGTGTGGTGTTGGCTCTCTGGTGTGCTATCTTAAAGGGGTTTCCTCGTGAAGATCGTTCAGTTGCAGGCAAAATTGATTTGTTTGCATGGTCTGCCTGATGGGCGATCTTGTATGCCATAATGAGGTCACCCCTTTTCCTGCGATAACCCAAGGTAAATAGGTTGAGGTGTTTAAGTCTTTCAAAATACGTCTTTCCCCTTAGCCCCACAACTGATTTTGTTGCAGTTCTTTGTATTCTTTCAAGGAGATTAGAGTCTCTCTTGAGTGTTGGAGGAGCCACCGTATTGAAGACCTCTAGGTGCGGCCGCACGTAGGATTTGAAAATGGTAAGGAAAAGTTTTTTATTTATTTATTTATTTTTATTTTAATTTTTATTTTTATTTTTTTTGAATTATTTTATTTTATTTTATTTTACTTATTTATTTATTTATTTTTTACTCTTCCTTATTTCTCTCTTCATTCCTTTACCACTACCTCACTATTCTCTTTCAGGTACCTACACAGACAGGAGTCACGGTTGTTCTCTAAACTTCCCAGCAGCCCGTAGCTCCCTAATCACTCTACAAATACAACCTACTAACCCACAAAACATCCACCTCACCGAAGCTGAAAGCAAGAAAGCAGAGGGGATTTCCTCGTCCACTGCAGGAGTGAACCGAACAACTCGAACCAAGCCCTAAGAACTAGACGCGAGAGATCAAAAACTACTAGTTTTCTACGCTCGCACTATCAATATTGGATATTGGATATTGGAAATAAGTAAATAAACAAATAAATAAAATTAAAAATAAAAATAATAGTAATAATAATGTAGGGAAGAGGAAAGGGAAGGAGAATAAAAGAAGGGGTGAAGAGAGAAATGAGAACGAAAGAAAAGTATTTGGGAATTGCTCGAATGGTCGCGTGGGTTTGGTTCCTACAGAAGAATTAGTAGGTAATGTGGGTGTATTAAGGAGAGAGATAGTCAGTGGTAGTTAGGAGGGAGTTGAGGGGTACTGAGGTTGGTGACTACCTGAGTACGTCCGTGGTAGTCCATGCGAGGTGACATAACTGTCTAATCGCCTCTTGAAAGAGTCGATTGAAGGAGCTATAACGATGTGTCGCGGTAAGGCATTCCATAAAGCACATACTCTCAGGGAGAAAAATTTGGACCTGAGTGTGGTGTTGGCTCTCTGGTGTGCTATCTTAAAGGGGTTTCCTCGTGAAGATCGTTCAGTTGCAGGCAAAATTGATTTGTTTGCATGGTCTGCCTGATGGGCGATCTTGTATGCCATAATGAGGTCACCCCTTTTCCTGCGATAACCCAAGGTAAATAGGTTGAGGTGTTTAAGTCTTTCAAAATACGTCTTTCCCCTTAGCCCCACAACTGATTTTGTTGCAGTTCTTTGTATTCTTTCAAGGGGATTAGAGTCTCTCTTGAGTGTTGGAGGAGCCACCGTATTGAAGACCTCTAGGTGCGGCCGCACGTAGGATTTGAAAATGGTAAGGAAAAGTTTTTTATTTATTTATTTTTATTTTAATTTTATTTTTATTTTTTTTGAATTATTTTATTTTATTTTATTTTACTTATTTATTTATTTATTTTTTACTCTTCCTTATTTCTCTCTTCATTCCTTTACCACTACCTCACTATTCTCTTTCAGGTACCTACACAGACAGGAGTCACGGTTGTTCTCTAAACTTCCCAGCAGCCCGTAGCTCCCTAATCACTCTACAAATTACAACCTACTAACCCACAAAACATCCACCTCACCGAAGCTGAAAGCAAGAAAGCAGAGGGGATTTCCTCGTCCACTGCAGGAGTGAACCGAACAACTCGAACCAAGCCCTAAGAACTAGACGCGAGAGATCAAAAACTACTAGTTTTCTACGCTCGCACTATCAATATTGGATATTGGATATTGGAAATAAGTAAATAAACAAATAAATAAAATTAAAAATAAAAATAATAGTAGTAATAATGTAGGGAAGAGGAAAGGGAAGGAGAATAAAAGAAGGGGTGAAGAGAGAAATGAGAACGAAAGAAAAGTATTTGGGAATTGCTCGAATGGTCGCGTGGGTTTGGTTCCTACAGAAGAATTAGTAGGTAATGTGGGTGTATTAAGGAGAGAGATAGTCAGTGGTAGTTAGGAGGGAGTTGAGGGGTACTGAGGTTGGTGACTACCTGAGTACGTCCGTGGTAGTCCATGCGAGGTGACATAACTGTCTAATCGCCTCTTGAAAGAGTCGATTGAAGGAGCTATAACGATGTGTCGCGGTAAGGCATTCCATAAAGCACATACTCTCAGGGAGAAAAATTTGGACCTGAGTGTGGTGTTGGCTCTCTGGTGTGCTATCTTAAAGGGGTTTCCTCGTGAAGATCGTTCAGTTGCAGGCAAAATTGATTTGTTTGCATGGTCTGCCTGATGGGCGATCTTGTATGCCATAATGAGGTCACCCCTTTTCCTGCGATAACCCAAGGTAAATAGGTTGAGGTGTTTAAGTCTTTCAAAATACGTCTTTCCCCTTAGCCCCACAACTGATTTTGTTGCAGTTCTTTGTATTCTTTCAAGGAGATTAGAGTCTCTCTTGAGTGTTGGAGGAGCCACCGTATTGAAGACCTCTAGGTGCGGCCGCACGTAGGATTTGAAAATGGTGAGGAAGAGTTCGGGAGTGAGGGCGCCAAGCTGTCTACGCAGAAAGTGTAGAATGGCGTTCGCTCTGGTTGTCATGCCTTTGTAGTTGGAGCTGGTGTCCAAGGTGTCGGAGAAGTTGAGCCCCAAATCTTTCTCCCTGGACACTCTGGTGATAGCACGGTTGCTCAACATTTACTGGAAGTCGGTCGTACTTGCTTCATTTTTACTGATGTGCATTACTTTGCGCTTTTCCAGGTTGAAGCTCAGGCCATTTTCCGACGACCAGAGCTCGAGTTGCTGCAAGTCCTTTTGTAGTGCTGCACAGTCGGCTTCTTCGTTTACCACCCATTTACCACCCACATTACCTACTAATTCTGTGGGAACTAAACAACACCATCTATTTCCACCATTCGGGCAATTCCCACATGCTTTTCTTCCTCCTTTATTTCTCTTCTTTATCCCCTCCTTTTCTTCCCCTTCCTTTTTTTTCTTCTTCACTCTTTTCATCTTTTGCCACTACCTTACTGTTCTCTTTCAGGTGCCTACACAGACGGTAGTCACGACAGTCCCCTAACCTTCCCAGCAGTCCGTAGCTCCCCAATCACTCCACAAATTACAACTCACTAACCCACAAAACATCCACCTCACTCAGGCTAGAAGCGAGAAAGCATTGGGGATTTTCTGGTCCACTGCAGGGGTGAACCGAGCAGCTCGAATCAAGCAATGAGAGAGATCAAAAACTATCAGTTTTATACGCTCGCACTATCAGTATTGTATATTGGAAATCGAATCTACACGCACTACTGATTTAGTATGTTGAACGTGACCTTGTTAAAATCAAGCAACGAGTTTTATATCTACCTTGACGACGGCTTTGAATGAATTTTAACTAGAAAGGGAGAATGCCTTTGTTCAGCACTGCTAGGTTGGTTAATATAGCTGTGAGAATTCACCTATTGGCAAGAATTTCAAATTTACAAATCTATCTAATGTTTTTTCAGCCCTCTAGAGGCCTACAACAGCCTCATGGACAAGCACTTAGTGAACTATTTTTCTACAAATCGGATGAAAAAACACCTCATTGATAATGGACTTGTAAGTCAAAGTGGCGATCAAGCTTTAAGATATGATTATGAAAATAAGTATTTAAGAGTTGAAGTTGTGAATTTGTGTTATACACATGTTTGTAAGGAGTATGCACTTTATAAAGTGCATATTCGTATACGAACATGTAGCCTATATGCTACAAATGTAGCAACTGGTTGGAGTGGGACCTCTAATAATGCCCTCAATTCAACTTCATATTTTACTAAAGTATCAGAAAAAGTTATTACACGAGTAGTTTTTTTTAAGTACAAGTGCTTTTGAGTATATATTCAAGCATTTACTTGGGGGCGCACTTTGTAACATTCGGGCGAAAACCCTATAATTTCACTTCGGGCGCATTTAGGGCGACGTACGAACTCCCTCGAATGTTCCGAACCTTTTACCCGAAAGTGTCAAAAGTCCCAAAGTGGGCCCTACGTTGAAAAACGTTTCATGCTCATCAAACAGCATGCAAAAATCGTAAGTATGAGAATAAAATTATATTGGTACAATAAAAAATACAGAATACTCTTCTCAGATTTCTTGCAAATCGTTGACACTCTCTGGCGAACTTGGTAGCCGAGTGCTTTCCGCGAATGTAACGACGAAGATAGGGACAACCTCACCATCGGGTAATTCAGCCACCTATTATAATTGTATTACGGAACATATTAAGCTTACCATTTTGCCTTCCTTTGGCCGTTTAACCCTCATCTTTAATCGGTCGCGATGATTTCAATAGAATTACCTGTCGGTTGTATTCTCCATTGGTACTCATATTTTTTAACTCGTCGGTATAGTGTAGACATACTCTGACGCAGTTTAAATCCAAGTCGAGCTAAGCCATGCAGTTAAGGGACCAAAAAAAGCCTCACGCAAATACCAACTTCGTCGCCTTTTTTTTTGGCTTTTTGATGCGATGCTTAATGACGGTCTAAGTTCCTGAAATGCAATGGTCACTGGTTCACCAGTTACAGCATTGGTTAGAGGATTTGTCATTGTAACTGAAAATGAAGGAATTAATTTTACTCACACGAAAATTGCCTCTGCTTACTAACACGGTGTATAGTATTGTGAACCGGATATTCGCTCGTAATCACCAATTTGGGTATACTTAAGCAAAAGTTCAACAGTTTCAAGGCCACTACTAAACTTTGGGAAATACCCAAAGTGTCTGCAGTGAGCCCGAAATTTTCATGTTTTCATAAACACGCCCAAAATACCCGAAGTTTCTGCAATGCGCCGGAAGTACCCGAAGTGTCTGCAGTGCGCCCAAACATTTGTAATAATCCATATCCCAAGTGATGAGAAGGCATAATCCGTTCTATTTTAGCTGATTAGTTGACGTTTATGTGCTACATGTCTTTTTGTTATAGAAGTCAATAAAATGTTAGCGGCCGAGTAAAATATTTGCAAAATTTAGGGGGAGTACCCAAAAGTTCCTAAGTGCGCCCGAAGTAGCTTCGGGTAAAACCCGAAAGTTACAAAGTGCGCCCAAAGTAAGTGCTAGCTGGGATATATCCATAAGGAGCCTTAGTTTTCTAATAATTATTTTACCACTAATGTGAGTGAATTTAATTTTATATGTGAAGGCAGTGGTTGGCAGAAGAAAAATCTAAAATAGTTTACTGCACAGAAAGAATATTTAACCCGATATGAAAGCATTTATGCGATGAGTTTTTATTCCGTATTTTTCGATCCTGGTTTTCTTCTCACAACCAAACAAGGTTTACACATACAGAAGTTGCGTACACCAAATGATATGAAACACAGACCTGTAAGTTTAGTATGAGACAGGTCTACATGCATACTTTTGTATGTTCTAATCAAATGAATTCACTCAGTTGAAATGCGGTCAGTATTATGTACTTCAGAACACATTTCACCAGTATTTTCAGGTCTATAAAATGTTAGTCAGCAACTGTGTGACTATGTATACTACTTAATACAAGGTTTCAAGGAGCTTGAGTCAACAGAAAAAGTTTCATAATAAAATATGTATTGCAGAAGCATTCAGTCTCTTTGGGTTAAATGTATTTTGTTTGAACTTACCTCGTCTCTTTGCAATATTAGGGGTGAGAGTACCATCAAATATGCTTTTGGTATAGGTACTTAATAGACGGGCCCAGTCACAGAAGTTTCCATCCAATAGATCCAGACTTTGTGTTTGAAGAAATAAGGTTGTGAGATTATGTGGACCATTAAAAAAGTTTTTTACTTTTCCATTCATCTCTAAAATAAATCAATCCAGCATCACACCTGATAGGATATAATTCCCAGTGATGACTGATTTTCTTGAAATTCTATAATTAATCGTGAAAAAACTCGTTTTTATCTTTTGTACTCGTCTGTTATTTCATTTGAGTTTCTTTGATATACTGCAAAAGAAAATAAAAGTCACTTCAGATTCACAGTCATTTAAAATTACGCATAACATGATCAATTCTCATATCTATCTGCCATATAGAGAACCCAGAAGGTTCATCTTCCAAGGCGATTCCTCATGCAAAGCCATCTATCTTATGAATCCTACTAATCGCCATCATCTGAACTATTTTAAGAAGAGTTGAGTCATTTTTCGGAAAAAGGCCTTTGGCTTGCATATAGGTTATAAAGTAAGTCTAACTGACGTGATGTATAGGGTGGTAAACACTTCATAACTGACCCAAGTAAAGGTGTAACATATATTAGGTGTCCTAAATCTACAAGTTGCAACTGACCGACAATGGAGTTTCATCTCTAATTTACAACTTGCTATGATCTTTAGGTCATTATGAGTCAGTATTGAAATTAGAGGGATTTCACCTATATCATCATTGTTGCCATTCAAACGACCTGTGTATATGGCAATAAAATCACCTGCATTGATAGACATCAATCAGTTCTCTCATCAGGTCATAAAACTGTTGATAACTACGTAAAGCGTGCTCACATCATTGTTATTCCTTGGTTCTTATCAGAATTAAGGATTATTAGAATAAAGAATCACGAAAAATTTCATTATGTTTGGTAGTGCACTAATGTTCATCAGAAATAACCAGGGACCTAAAACTGTACCTTGAAGTCCCCTGCTCTTTTATAACTTCAAGAAGAAGAGTTTGAAGTCAGTTCTTACTCTGTGTTTTCTGTCCGCAAAAAATCTTCTATTCACACAAGCTAACCACCATCGGTTCAGAAAATCTTATTTTCTTACCAACTAGGGACGAGGTACTCAGTTGCATGCCTCACTAATATCTTTGAAAATAACATCTGCAGGCTCTCTGTAATCCTTATATTTTCCCTCCACTTTTTTCTGCGAAAGTCTTTCCAGATGAATAACGATGACTCTTTTGACTAGGATTTCTAAGACTTTTTCTAAGATGTTGATTAGTCTTGTCGGCTTTGAATTTGATGAACGTTATTTTGAGTCTCCTTTGTGGATAGGTATGAATATGAAATCTTTCAAGTCATACAGTGGTATGTCTTGATCATGCGTCAATGTAAATCTGATAGCCGATGTACGGACTATTACTATAAAATTATTTTCCCTTCGGGTTCCTAGTGGAACATAGGGATTCAGTAGCACGCCTCCATTCCACTCTCTTCTCTCCAGTCTTCAAAACCTGGCGCCATGACTACCCACAGGCTCTCATTTCTTCTTCACATCATCTTCTACATGTCACCCTCGCCTTACACGCCCAACTCGTCGTTTCCCCTTTGCATTCCACTCCAGTGCCTCGCCTAGTGCGTGACGTCCCCAATCGGCCTTCTCAGTGTATGCACAGTGTATGCCCAATCCATCTCCACTTCCTTCCACTACATATTTGTTCAGCGATAGCTTCTTCCTTCGTTGGTTCGTTGCCAGTCAGCCAGCCACAGTTCCTTGTTGCTTATTCTTACTACTCTAGCCATCCATCTGATCTTCAGTATCGAGCCACCACAGGCGGCAGTTGTTGATGAATGTCTGTAGTTTGTTGGAAGTGCTCTTCGTGACACGCCATGTCTCTCGACCATCACATAGAAGCACTGACTTACTTGACTGAATAAGTGTTGAGAATCCGGATGCTGTTCACGCTTTATGCTGAGTGCAGTGCAGTGCAGTGGAGTAAATCTCCACACTGATTTGAGATTAATGAACGCCTACCTTGCATTTTCGATCCCGGTTTAGACATCCTAATCTGTGCCTGTGCCGCTTGTAGTTGAAACCATGCTGTCTAGATAGGTGAAAGAGACTACTACCTTTAAGTTTCTCCCGTTCGTGGTGTTTGGTGTTTGTTGTTGTTGGTGGTTGTGGCGTTGGTTGAGTATCATCATCACCTCCGTCTTCTCTACACTTACTTGAAGTCCCGTCTCCCTTCCCTGCCTCACCTCCTCTGTCAACTTGTTAGTTTTAGCCTGTAGATCTTCGAGTTTGTACAACATTAGATACAAGTCATCATGGGTGAAATCCAAATCTTCTAGTCTCTTTTCATCGGTGAAACAGCGTATGCCTCTCTTCTCGCTCCCTACTGTTTGTTGTATGATCCAGTCCAGTTGACCACAATCACGAAGATCATGGGTGATAGTTGGCAGCAGCCTTATCTTACTACTGTCTTCACTTCAAAGGCGTCACTGAGCTTTCCATTGTGGATCACTTGGCATGTGGCCTTTTCATATAGCTGTTGAATGAAGTTGATGAAGGTTCGTGGTATTCTGTAGTGTTGAGGCAACTGCCAAATTACTTCTCGATCGACGTTGTCGAAGGCCTTCTCAAGGTCGATGAAGTTGAGGTGGAGAGTTGACTGCCATTCTATGCTTTGTTCTGTGATGATGCGTATCATTGGAATTTGATTCGCACATGATTTGTTGTTCCTGCATCTAGCCTGTTCCTGTCGTAATTTTGAATCCAGTGGATATTTTAGTCTCCCCAGGATGATGCGGCATAATATTTGCTTGGGGTGGACAGCAGCTTGATTCCTTGCCAGTTCTTGCAAAGGCTACACATTACTTCACTGAACAAGTAGTTCAATCATTCGAGTGTATCGCAACTTGAAGAACTCAAATTTAGCTCAAAATACCACATTTAATGAATCTCACCACAATACAATTTGAGACAACTTGTTGAGCAGTTAATAAATATTTAGCAAGAAATTTCGTGTTACTTTCATGCGTCATATTTATTTTGATCAAGGTTAATTAGTCAACTCGAGGACAGCAAACTGCAAGTTTCAGACGTGATCGAGGGTGCATCGGTCATATATTCACGCTATGACAAATTTCGAAACACTGGTATACTTACCGGCGTCTGAGACTTGTCATACTTGTTATCCTGAAGGCAGCATTAGACTCTGTCGACCGTGAGGCTTTTTGAGAGTGTCTGACTGTTAAGGGTCTACTGAGCAGGTTTGTATGCTTATCAAAGCTCTGTTATCCAGCTCACGCAGCCATATCAGGGCTTCTGGAGAATTGTCATGTGCATTTACAACAACTAGTGGTATCTGTTAGGGATGCCCTCTGTCATGGTTCGTATTTTATTTCGTCATAGACGTACTTATGGACATAACCTTAAGTATGTCTCACTTCACATGGATTTATCTACTCCCTGGAGGCCATCTGATTGATTTAGAGTATGGAGACGATATTGTCCTGCTGGTTGCACACCCTGGCAAAGTGCAGGGTCTTTCATACAAGGTGGACAGAAGTCTACGCATGTTTAGCATATGTTTCGCTGGCACCTGCTAAATGTAAGATGATGCTCCAAGATTGGTTTCTAACCACTTCCAGTTTAATGATAGGAAGTGGTGGCGGAATGTGTTGACTACTTCCTTTACTTGGGAATTCACATCAGCTCGAACGGGCTAGTTAGCAATAATAATAATAGCTTTATTCTGAAAGCTATTTAGGGAATACTCTGCAGAATTTTCAGCACGTCATATAGCATCAGTTGGATAGAGACGGTAAATATGTATACATAGCAAAATGAACATAAGTAGAAATTACATGAGGAAAAGATAAAAATATTCATTTTGTCTACAACTTTCTTCAAAATGCACAGTCAGTTTAAGTATGAAATCACATTGACAATTTGGTTCATAATACGTAAAAAGTGACAGTTAGTTTGCTTTCAAAAACAGAAGTTGATTTGTCAGTTCATTTCTGATATTTTCTTCATCACAGAGCAGACGAGTTAAATACAATTTTCTAGGGATTTATATTTTTTAGTACTTGCATAGAGTCTTATGTACTTGCTCCTTGTCTTTCCAGAAGACCGACACGTAGAGAGCTTCGAGTGAAGATGATATTGGTCATCTGATAAAATAACTCCTGCTAGATGTTTACATAAGTTAATATGTTTGTCTACAACAGTTTTGACTAAAAGGTCAGAGGGTACACCACTAGTTCTGCCAACAATCTTCAAAGCTCTACGCGATATAACATAGTCTTTTCTCAGAAACCCAGGAAAAAATAAAGGGGAGCAATAGAGGAGGACAGGCAAGACGCAAGAGTTTATAAAACATAAAAGAAGAAGCTGAATAATACCAGATACTCTGACGTATCATCTGACAGAAAATCAGCTCGGGTAGAGAATACCCTTTTGGCATTTGCCAACTCGCGTCACCTGTGGCACCGACTGGCGAGATATCCGACACTGCACTGCAGTTCGTTCTGTTCTGTTCTACGACTGTGAGACATGGCCGTTAAAAGTGGACGATATGAAGCGATTACAAGGTTTTTATCGCAGGTGTCTTTGTAGCATTGCTCGCGTTTGGTGGAATCAGCCTGTGGACAATGTTGAGGTCAGGCGAAGGGTACTAGGTGGTAAGACCAGGAAGTCGATTGATAAGCTTGTGGATCGTAGTCGACTGAGACAGCTTGGACATGTACTACACATGCCAAGCCACCGTCTACCTCGGTGTGTTATGCTACTAGGAGTTGGACTAAGTGGGAAGAGGGTTCAAGGTGACGAGACCAAAACGTGGCAACATTCTTTGAAGTCTCTTACTGACAGGATGAGCCATGTTGGGAGATATAGACTATCTGGTTGGGGTCCCGAAGACGACAGGAATCGATGGTTGAGGACTCTTGGTTACATGACTGAAAATCGGTCACAATAGCGTGGTTGAATTCAGTTGTTGATATCCTCTAACACTTGAATAGTTGCACTCACCTTTATTTTCAAATTGTTGATTCTGTCACACAACTTTACCTACTTTGAAATCACTCCTATTCTATCCACCTGTTCTTTGAATGCTGCTGTAGATTGTGGCAAATTGTGTTAATGCCGTTGTATACGAGGTTCAACGTTGATTTTATCGGTCGGTCAACCAGTCAGTCATTCAACTAGAATCTGGTATTTCTGCCTCATACTAAAATTAATGAATCAGTTTATATGCAGCTAGATTTATGTATATGAGTCGGTCACTTATGAGTAACTCATGTAGCTATCTAGTCCTAAGCGGTCAGTACTGATCAAAGTTTGTCGGTCAAGTTTCTCAATGTGACCACCAAGCTAACTGACACGACGCTGCAATGCAATGTGTTTTGGTGTTAGATGACTACAGTCAATTGACAGAAAAAAGTTGTGTCTGCAAACATGAGGAAACTAGTACTAGGAAGCGGTCTGACTCAAAGCTGAAGTCAGAAACTCAGTTACTAAGCTATCTACGTTATGATTGAGCCTTTGAAAAACTGAACTATGTGCAGTAACTCGTGACAAATGCGTTACCCAGTCGTAAAAGGGGTGAATGATGACATAAAAAGCTTATTGACTGAGTCATTCACTCCGCCTTTTGAGTGGTGCCGCTTCAAATCACTAAAGCAACACCAGGTTCTTCATGTTTGCTGATATGAATTGCTAATAAATACCAACAAGCATGAAATGTAGATTGATTAGGCCCTCCTGCTAATTGACTACCACCTTCTAATATCAAAAAATATATGTGTGTATATGCATTTTATGTACGAAATTCATGTAGTTAACTGAAATGTTCCGCGGAATTCATTCATTCTGATCGGATTTATGTATCTTTGACATCGATAAACTTTCAGAGTTTCTTCCCTATACACTGAGATTACATTTTTAGAAAAGAAAACTTACGATTATTTTGGCAAAAGATTGACAACTTAATACTACAGAAATCATGCAAACAAGTGAATTTTGACTATCTAAGATAGCAGCCATAGTTAGGCAGACTAGTATTGAAACTGGATGATGATTAAAGGTGAAATGGAAGTTTGGATCGAAGTTGGATTCAAACCAGTGACCACCGGGTTCCCGGCCCGATGCTGTACGGACTAAGCTATGAGGTCCGACTGCTCACCAGGTTTTTATTTCACTTCAATATCCAGCATCGTTTCAACTACAGGCGGGATAAACGAGGACGACAAAGCCAGGATCGAAAAAGCAAGGCAGGCATTCATTAACCTGAAGTCAGTGTGGAGATTTACTCCATTGCACTGCACTCAGCATAAAGCGTGAACAGCATCCGGATTCTCAACACTTATTCAGTCAAGTAAGTCAGTGCTTCTATGTGATAGTCGAGAGACATGGCGTGTCACGAAGAGCACTTCCAACAAACTACAGACATTCATCAACAACTGCCGCCTGTGGTGGCTCGATACTGAAGATCAGATGGATGGCCAGAGTAATAAGAATAAGCAACAAGGAACTGTGGCTGGCTGACTGGCAACGAACCAACGAAGGAAGAAGCTATCGCTGAAAAAATATGCAGTGGAAGGAAGTGGAGATGGATTGGGCATACACTGTGCATACACTGAGAAGGCCGATTGGGGACATCACGCACTAGGCGAGGCACTGGAGTGGAATGCAAAGGGGAAACGACAAGTTGGGCGTGTAAGGCGAGGGTGACATGTAGAAGATGATGTGAAGAAGAAATGAGAGCTTGTGGTCAGTCATGGTGTCAGGTTTTGAAGACTGGAGAGAAGAGAGTGGAATGGAGGCGTGCTACTGAATCCCTATGTTCCACTAAGAACCTAAGGGGAAGAAAATAATTGCCAAAGGTTTTCCCCGACGACTACCATGTGAATTTGGACGCTTTACTACCGCTTGATCGTGTTCACACTGGCTGCTCACCACTTAGGACCTCTCATCCCAATCGAAATGTAACTGACTTAGAGAGGGGAGGGATAGCATCATATTGATGATTATCAGTATTGCTATCTAAAATAGTCGTGGTATGGAGACTAGTATTTCTATTGGGTGATGATTGAAGGTGAGATGAGAATCTGGACCGCGGCCGGATTCGAACCAGCAGCCGCCGGGGTTGCCAGCCAGAAGCACTGGTTCGGGAACCCGGCGGTCGCTAGTTTGAATCGTGCCGCGATTCAAACTTTCACTTAACCTTCACTTATTAACCACTATCAATCGACCAATAATTTGTGCATAATAAATTAAAGTACCCAAGAAACATTTCAACATATTTTAGATTACAGAAAATGATGAAGTTGTATCTGAAGCAGAATATAAAGAGATACAGAATCGAGAAAATCAAAAACGTGCAATTTTACAGATTATTGCTCATGCTATTATCGAAAAATCATTAGAAGTTGAACGTATACGTCAAGGAAAATTGCAAAGAAACCTAGAAGAAATATGTCGGTTACACAGAATTCGAAAATTGAAAGTAAGTAAGCAGATGTTACATTTTCATAGAAATGTTCAATGGTTTACTTACTCTGTATCTTTCATTCTAACTGTTTATACGTTGAAATATTTACATTATCAAAAGTTTTAATCGTCTTTCATGATAACCATTTATTGATGTGTTTGTTATTCTTCGTTGTTTTATTGGATCGAATTGTTCGACCTCTGTCGGCAGATGGGTTCCTATGCAAATGCCTGATGAATTCAAACGTTTTCAGAGTAGACCAATAATGAAAGTAAAAGGGGTAGCTCGATCAAAACCACATTTCTCAAGCTGATCTACTAAACGGTGAATAGTAGTAGCAGTGGAATCCAGGATGCGTATTTCGTCCTATTTGGGACTCGTCAGCTAGATATACCTGTTTCCCGGTGAGTGATGTTGTTCCCACCGAGTCCGAATCCCGGTGGGAACAACATCACTCACCGGGAAGCAGGTATATCTAGCTGACGAGTCCCAAATAGGACGAAATACGCATCCTGGATTCCACTGTTACCACTATCCATCATTACTATCATGAGTGCACAGGTAATATCGTGGCATCCGCACGGGATCCCATATGTCAATAAAGACTGATCAAATCGGTCAAACCAACGACATCGAGAAATTATTATTTATATATTCTTGTTACTCTTTAATATACAGTAGACAACTATACATCAGAACTATTTGAATATCCTACTGAAAAATGTTTAAATTCACTAGTTTTCTAATTTAGAATCAAGTATAGGTATTCAATTGAATGAGGCTAGTGGAATACACCCATTTGATCGTAAGAAAAGACAAGACGTGGTTGCAGCAAATAAAAATGTCTCTTTTCGACGAAGTCATCTACTGCTGAGCTGTACATTCATGAATATATGTTCCATTGAAGAGAATGTTCCAGAATTATTCCTGGTTAGGGGAACAAAATATATTGAATAATTAACTAAAGGAAGTTAATTGATACACATTTGGGTTTAGAGTGGGAAAATAGACGAGGGATTACGGAAATATATGTATGCTTATCTAATACAGAGATGAATCTGTGATGATCAAGGCTTTATGATACCGATAGCAAAGATGAAGGTTGGAAGTACGTTTTATAGATGGGTAACGCTTGTTTGAACTTCTGGATGGCTAATGTTTCAGCTATAGACAAATGCCTTGATCTTACTGCCTTCAAATGGTTTGATCGAACTCTGTAGATGATTTTGAATGAGTTCTCAAAAGGAACTAAGTGGTCTGAGTTCATGAAGTGTTCTGTTATTGAACTGAAGACACATTTCTGTTCTCCCTTTACTAGCCACGCTAGGGTAGTGTTCACCGGCACCTTTTACAAGCGAACACATGGTAGGGCTGATATACTCAGGTCTACAAGAGCAAGTAAACTGGTATACACTCCTTAGCCCGGTCGTGGGCGCGTACTGCTGAGGAGTCCCATACTAGGAGGAAACAGCTATCCAGTACTCCCAGGTTTTCAATGGTTATCCGTGATGAATTCTACCTCTAAATTAAAATCCCTATTCATCTCAAAAATACATACAGTAGATATATTTATCTAACGATTTTTGGAAATATATCTAGATTTTGCAATCAGTCTTGCTGCTTATAGTAAAAGTATATGTAATGAGGATGTTAATCCGTTTGACTCTTCAACGTTTGGTCATTCGAACTGTGATATAAACGTTAGTAAGTCTTCACGTGCCTTCATATTATTTCTGTATTATTCGCATAAGCTTCTGTCGAAAGATTCACGAGTTAGAGTTTTTGAGTTAAAATGAAGCATAAGAGACATGACACTCGTTGCACAACAGGTGGCTATCGTTCCCCACTGGCTAACTGGGTAACGACATGGCCTTTGAAGCTAAAGGTACGAGGTTGGAGTCTCGGTGGGAACAACATCACTTGGTATTGGGGTGCAGGTACATCCAACTAACGACTCTCAAACAGGTTCACTACAAGCAGACTGTTTTTTGACCAGTTTGGAGAATGGACCCTTAGAAAATCAACGATTGAAGGTTTTCAACCATATTAAAGATACATAGATCATACTTTTATTATCTGTGATCATCAATATGATTTGAATCATGTTCTACAGATATTCAGTAACTGCTACTTAGAAATTAGATTCACCCTTGAGGTAGAAAATCGACTGAAAACTCACTTTCTTGATATAGAGCTGATAAGAACAGCTGATGGAAAACTAGGTAGGTCAATTCGCAGAAAACCAATGTAGAATGGTCATCTATGGGTCGCAAGCGAAATCTGATCATATCTCTGGCCACTCGCACTAGACGAATCTGCAGTCCCGATGTGTCAGAACAGTAAATTTCTGTTCTAAAGAACATCCTGATTGAAAAAGGATTCCCACTACGCTTCATAGACAAACACGTCAAACCTATGCTTGGCAAAGAGAACCTTACCACCGTGCCAAAAAGATACTCTATATGAATCTCAACTTCAAAGGTGATTCTGCCGCGGATGCTCTAAAAAGGAGGATATCAAACGCTGTAAGGAGAACATTCTGTTCATCAACGCTGAGACTAGTATTCTCTTGTCGCTCAACGATTTCTAACAACTCCAAGGAGAAACTTTCGCATCTCACCACTTCTGTGTACATGAATCGATTCGCTTGCTCTTGTGGACCCAGGTATATAAGTCGTTCGATACGAATGTTATCCAGAAGGGTTCAAGAACCACTATTCTGCATGGTTACAAACAGATAACAATGGAGAGATAAGGAGTGTTATAATTGAACACATCGTGAACATGAATCACGCTATCTCAAGAATCTCCTCCTTCAAAATCATCCATAAAGTGAAAAGAATTCTTCCAAAGGCTGACTCTATGTCTTTGTATTCTCTGCATCGCTGAGACCTGAACTGTGTACACAGAAAAAGATTGTTCAATCCCTTCTCTTTTTATAGTCTTAGTTTTCAGTCCTTGAAAGCTCCTCTAACCCCTCTCACCTTCTGTTTTCATTTTTCTGTATAGTGTAGATACTATTCACTTCTTAAGCTTCCACAAAAGAACAACTATTCTTTCTCCATGAGTGCAACATGTTCTACCGAAGAGTGTCAGACATAGACACGATTAAACAACCCAGCTCAGAGAACACAATACAACCAAGACCATCCACTTGAGCTACAAATATTCTCCATTACTTCTTAAGTAATTTGTTACTCATTCCTGTTACTAAGCTTTGCTTGATTACAATTCACTTTCCAATTATATCGTCATGTTACGAAACGTCTTCTTGTCCAAACTTATTTTGATCAATATTTACTACTCATCAATTCTTGGTTTTTTATTTTAATTACAGCTCACACTAATTGTGTTGCCTGGCATGGTTGACATACCACTTTTAACTATCACATCCTTACACTAGAAAAAAAATGTATAAATTTGTGGTTGTATAGCTGTGAAAATGGAATCGCTGAAAAGAGACTCTTCACTGAAATACTTACTTGTTCTTCTTTGAAGTAAGGTAGTGTAAAGTTTGTATATTTAGCAGTAAGTTCATAAAGTCTTGTATACTTTCTCCTAGTCTTTCGTGATGACCGACATACAGACAGTTTTGAGTGAAAAGGATGCTGGTTATCTGATAAAATAACTCCTGCGAGATATTTACATCAGTTAAGATGTTTGTCCAGAACAGTATCAATCAGAAGGCTTAGAGGTACACTACTAGTTCTCCTGACATTATTTGAAGTTCTGCGCAATACAACAGAGTGTTTTTTTAGAAACCCAGTGAGGAATAAAGGGTACCAATCGAGGAAAGCAGGCAAGATACAGTTGTTTATGAAATACAGGAGAAGAGGCTAAGTTTTGCCAGATACTCTCAGCTGCCTTATATAGAAAGTTAGGCGGAAGATTCTTATGGAAATCAATAAGATATAGGAAGACCGGGGAATGTTGGAAGAAAAACACTTCCTTGTGAAGATCTGATGCATTAATAATGATGATTTCTAGCGTGTCAATAAAATCTTTATCAATCAAAACCCGAACTCAATAGACAACACCATCTGGACATAATGCAGTGCATAATCTAACTGTATTGCACTAACCAGTTCATGTTATTCACCTGTTGAGAATGAATTCCCCTTTTCTTAACCAATTACAGAACATATTTATTATGCTTTGAGTAACAATCATACATTTTAATTGCAAAGATTTTTTCATGATCTCATATAATTCTGTTTTTATAGGAAGAACGTCAAAAACATTACGAAGAATTTTTATTATCAAAGTTAGTGGCTAAAAGTCCAAGGTCAAGTGAAAATCTTCAACCATTGGGAATATATTCTCCAGGGAATATAGTAAATCCTTTTTTACTGAAAATTTTTTACCTTCTACTTGAATAATGAATTGTACTAACTTACTTGGTTGTGGCTAGCAGAGTAATCCAGCTTGACGCGCGTTTCGTCCTATTTGGGATTTGTCAGCTGGATGTACCTGTACCTAAATAGGACGAAACGCATGTTCTGGATTCCCCCACTAGCCACAAACAAGTTACCATAATTAACATTTAGGCAATATGGAGGTATCCACATAGGGGCTCATATGTTAATAGAAGTTGAACAATTCGATCCAGTAAAACAACATCGAATTACAAGCATATCAATAAATAACAATAATGCATCGGATATTATATCAAAAAAATAATGGTGTTTCCAATTGCAAATAAGAAGCGGAATATTTCAAAGTCGAGTGAAACCATTACGCCTGAGCATGACTTGAGGTGACCAGTCACCGCACAGATTACAAACCAATATGATTTATATATATATATATATATATATATATATATATATATATATATATATATATATATATATAAATTATTTCACATCTATTCATGCCTTTTTGTTCACTGCTCATTTATTCATATTTCTTCAAGTTGTACTATTATTATTATTATTCCCTTGGTTCCTAGTGGAACATACGGCTTCAGTAGCACGTCTCCATTTCACTCTCTTCTCTGCAGTCCTCCTAACCTGAATCCACGACTGCCTACAAGCTTTCATTTCTTCCTCACATAATCTCAAACATATCAGCCTCCCTCCGACGCCCAAATCGTCGTTTCCCATTTGGCTTCAACTCGATGACCTGACCTGAGGCGTGATGTCCACAGACCGTCTTCTCAGTGTATGTATGTCCAATCCAACCCATCTCCACATTCTTCTGGTGCGTATTTGTTGGACGATAAGTTCTTATTTGGTTGTTTCGTTACCAGCCAGCCAGAGTTGCTTGTTGCTTATTATTTCTAACCATCTGATCTGATCTTCAGTATGGAGTGAGCGAAGGCATCAGCTGTTGATATACGATGTCTGTAGTTTGTTGTCAATGTTTTTCATGACGCGCTAAGTCTCTGAACCATATAGAAGCACTGACTTGACTGACTTAGTGTTGAAAATCCATATCTTGTTCTTTATGCTGAGTGCAGTAGATCTGCACACTGATTTCAGATTAATGCAGGAAGGTCTGTCTTGTTGTCTTTCCGATCGCGCCTGGCTCTGAAATCCTCATCTGTGGCTGTGCTGCCACCTGTAGTTGAAACGATGGTGCCTAGGAAGGTAGGTGGGAGAGACTACTTCGTTTAGAGTCCTCCTATTGATGGTGATTGGTGCTTGTTGTTGTTGGTGGTGGTGTTCGTGTTGGTCGAGTATCTTCATCACCTCTGTCTTCTCTACGTTCAACTGAGGGAAGTGCCATCTTCTTTCTGGCCATCTGAGCTTCAGTAACTAGTGAGCGTAGGCAGTTGTTAATGAATATGTGTAGTTCGTTGGAAGTACCTTTCGTAATGTGCCAAGTCTCTCAATCATACAGAAGCGCTGACTTCACTGAATTGGTGTTGAAAATCAGGATGTTGTTCACGCTTTGTGCTGAGTGCAGAAGATCTCCACACTGCTTTCAGGTTAATGAACGCCTGTCGTAGTACGTTACTACATCTCCACATCATTTTTATCATTACAATAAAGTTGAACTGTAAACCACGCTTAGGTCTTGTGATCCTTTATATGATTTTATTCAGACATGTACAGCGCTTGCGCTAAGCCGATATCTTCATGTCTTGCATTGGTGGCTGGAGTTGGATCAGTCTATTGAAAGTTTGGAGATGATGATGCGAAGACATGAGAACACTGTCTACAAGCACCCCACTTATCTGAGCCCTATTGAAAGGAATAGGCTTTGTGCTTGAAGACTTCTTGAAATTATTAAGAAATGGTTAAGAAGTTTTAAGGTACAAAAAAGGCTTAAAATCAATTACAATGACAACATGTCTTCATTTACTCATGTCTGAACTTTATGTCTTCCCACATCAACTGTTGTGATTAAGTCTTACAGGTACATTCAGCTGACGAGTCCTAAATAGGACAAAATGCGCGTCAAGCGAAGTACCTCTGCTAGTCACCAACATCAATATAACATCATGCATATCCGGTAGTATCAAAGCATCTTCCTACAGCAGAGGTCGAGCAATTCAGCGCTGTATAACAACGGGAAGTTACAAGTATCATTACAACAACTGATACCGGCTGCACAAGAGGTGACTATCGTGCTCCAGTGGTTTAGTGGAAGGATACTGTTTTCAAGCCTTGGTGAGAACAACATCACTTGGCACTGGGGTACAGGTGAATCCAACTGACGATTCCCAGATAGGACGAAACGCGCGTCAAGCTGAATTTCTGTGCTAGTCACTAACATGAAGAAGCGTTACACAACTTCCAGGGCATTGGAACAAGGAATTTCGCTTAGGAGAATACCGTCGAATGTTTTAAGATATGTGCGGTGGACACCGAACCATGTTATGCATTGTCAGTTGAGAGGGGATTAACTTGAAATTAGGCTAAAGATGGCCAAATGAAAGTATGACATTAATCTATGAAGTCAGTGATTATTAATCTTAGTCGTGTAAACAGCTACATTCATTCTGACTGAAGTCATTACCGTTGTTACACTGGAGTGAATTACTAGACCTCCGTTGGTAGATGGGGTTGTATTTCGATTGATTCTAGGACACGCGTTTCGTCCTATTCTGAACTCGTCAGCTGAATGCATCTGCACCTTAGTCAGTGTTAGCGTTCCCATGCGGACTCTAATCTAGTATCCATCACTTCAAACTGAAGCGTAACAGTCACATCTTTCGCAACAGGTGTTAGTCATTGCTTTTTAGCATACTTCAACTGTACAGAACTATTCAGCTTTTATCTTCTTTAAGATGTTCTGTATGTGCGGTTTTTCTCATTGATCAATGACGTTCACTTTTGTCATTGTTCTTTTGTCTACTATGTACTTGACCTATGCATTCTCTGATGCTTCAAGATATGACAGCTTGAAGAGATATTTTCCATTATATAAATCTAGTTTCTGCTGTTGACTCTTAACTGGTCCATCTATCGTGATTTCTCTCTCTCTCTCTCTCTGTCTCTTTCTTCAACTGCCTATCATGCAAACATATTGAAAATTCACTAAAAATCATTCTGTTTCATTGAAAATAGAATAAAATTCGTTTTGTTTAAAAACTATATACATCCTATTCTGAGATAGATAGATAAATAATTGAATATAAGAGAAATATGAATCGAGAAAATCATTTATTTGTAAAATTTATATTGAAAAATGTTGCTTATTTATTACGTAATCTATTTAGTATGGACACCCCATTATGAATTGCTTTTCGAAGATCTGTTGGCGTATTGAATTCATAGTTAGTAATAGAAGGATTTGGCTAGTAGTGTACACATTTGTGCATTAGCTAATCAGCCACACCCAATACATAAAGCTTAATAATAATAGTAATAATAAAATAAACAGAGTACGGGAAGGGAACCGATAAATGCATCACATAAAAATAGCATAACAACATTATGAATACATAAATGATGAGAAGTGAATGAGTAGGAATGTACTGATTAGAAGGACAGTTGAGTAAGGTGCATTGAAAACGAAAAACACTCATTACTTTTCAGCAGCTAAAGATAGAAGGAAGCTACAGCATGACCGCAACTGGTATCGATTCTAAGCCATATCTGATAATGTCTCAGGCCAGTGAGTTGTGTGACCTCTGGGACCCCACCCAGGGAGTCGTAAGGCCCCGGCAAATTTCAACCTGATACAAGTATCCTTCATCTCATGACGCTACGTCGTACACTAACCACCTATCCTCCTATTCTTTCATCCGGTCTAAGAGCTAGCGAACAATGAACGGTGTGGAAGCCGTTGTGGCGGCATGTGTAAGCCACCAAAGCTAGTGTTTCTGGATGACTTCACTTATTGAATAGTGATCTCCATTCTGCCCAAACACACACTGTCGTACCTCAAAATTCCTTATATGGTGTTGCCACTAGATACGAATGATTCAACGGAGACAGCATATAGAGTCTTTGCTTATCCTCAGCTCAAAGGGGTCAGGTTTTACGGACGTAAAACAGAACTGCTTACACGGAAGCGTTGTAAATCCAACTTTCTACGGTCAGATTAACGTTGCGACAGCCCCAAAAGTGGATCAACTTGGCATATGCCACTCTGGTTTTTGATATGCGGTTGGAAATTTCATCAATCACACCTCCACTAGAACTCACACATCTATCAAGACACATGTAATTTTCAACTACTTCAAACGACTCACCACCGAGGGTGAGACCAGGCTTAGGTTCCTGCCAAACTTGCACTTCGATGGTGCAAAGCACATATCATACTTCCGGTTTGATGATATTATTCGATCGTTGAAAATTTTATAGATGAAGTAGGAATCGACCCCCCGAGACACTGGTTGAATGTAGAATACTTAGTCATAGCTTCAGGAAGGAAGATGAAGAGCAATTTTATTAAGCGTAAAGTTTATTTACAATTTTACAAGCTACAAACCACTGAGAAAGTTTGAGGTTTCAACTGAATGATAAGAGTCCTTAGTTTATGCTAGAAAAATAGAAGAAAATCACGGTCTGTTTTCTTCTATTTGAGTAAATATACATAAAGAATCATATTATATATGTAAAGCCAATTATTTTTAGATGAGGATACTTACAAGTAGTTCAACTGTTAATCTAGAAGTTGGTACTCATCATAAACTGACATCAGTTGCAGAGACAATAGGAACCTGCGATCACTGGAAAGCTATTTCATCCTTTTGTGGGACTCCTCAGCTGTGCACACCCACGACCCCACCATGGTTTGAACCCAGTACCTTCAAGTTCCATGGTCAGCACATTACTATTGACCTATTGGGTCAGAATCAAATGGTTCATATTTCCTACTTCTGTCAGTTAATTATATATCTCCACTTCCAACTATGCATCTTAGAAAGTTAACAAAATGAATGCATAGACCAGTGAATATCTTGTATAAAGAACTTGCACATTACTATTCAATGAGATGGCATATAATTTTGTAAACATTTTAGAAATCTCAATCCAGTGCATCAAATATAGATGGAAACATTCGAACCATACGGTATTCTAAAATGAAAGATCATTATGATGGACAATATAATCCATTACTAGTGAAACGACAACGCCAACAGCAATCTCTCTTCAAAAAATCACCTAGAAAAAATAATAAGTCATCCAAGACTTCATTGAAACATTCGAGACATAAATCATGTGATAAACGAGATAGAAACGAAGAAGAAGGCAGACAAGTGATAGGTGATTTTCATGATACTAATAAGGAAGAGTTCAAGTCGAAGAATGATAGAATTCATACTACAAAGAATGAAAGTATCAATATTCATGAGATCAGTGTTAGTCATGATGAAAATGCAAACAAAAAAGCCAAAAAGATAAAAACATCAACTGATAAACAAAAACAGACATCAAAGAATAAAAGAAACCAAGTAAGTACACATATTTTGTATGGTCATATGAGAAATACTACTCACTCTCCTATTAGGCTATTGGGTATACTAAAATGGCAGTGATTTATAACACCAACTATTGGTTGAAGTGAAGGTGAGGTAGATGGGATGGTTTTTAGTATGGTTCAATGGTGGACTAGGTTAGAAGAGGGTTCAGGAGATCCACACAAAAACCTGACACCAAATTGATGAAGTCGCCTACTGTCGGTCTGATCTATGTGCGTAGATGTAGACTTTGAAATGGTGGAGAATATTGACAACTCAGGTGAATGGTCTTCGTTGTATTGTGCTCTCTGAGCTGAGTTGTTTGATCGTTGAGCTTTCATCGTCTTTCTAGACAACATCATCATCAGCACTAACTTCACTATGAAGTGAGCTGTCAATATCTCTCCGTGAGCTTGCCCTTACCAACTGGTTTGTCATTGATTGTTTCCTTCGATTGTTGTGTCATTGACTGACTGCAGAGATTTTCATGTTGACTGTTCCTCTGCTTCACGTGTCACCCTCCTGTTGTTTATGATTTTTCGTGTTGGTTGATAGATTTGGTCTATGTCTATACATCTGTTGATTGCTCACTGACTGACCTGAATGCCAAACTTCTAGGAATTCTCAGATGATATTCTTTGTGTTTCCTCTCTCCATCGAAAATTTCTACACTGTCGAAATTCAGTTCATGTGCATAGATGTTATCCACGTGCATTGAGCGACGAGTGGTGAGATGTGGTGACGTCTGATAGTCAATGGTTGTTTATGTAGACGAAGGTGAATGTGGGCGACCACTTTATCCAATCCTATACATCATCAACTATAAAGTCATCGACAGAAATCAACAAACGCCTTACCCTACCATACATAAAGAATATATCAGAAATCATGACAAGGTTACTGAGACCACTTGGAATTGGTGTGGCTCATAAACCAACAAATTCCCTTCAAATACTATTATGCAGACCAAAGGATACTCATACGTAGCGATAAAAAGGCAGCCAATACAGAAATTGTTTTCAGATCATCATTTATGTATCCACTGACATGATTACCTGATTGGACAAATTTGATGTCATACAATAAATCGGATTGGTTCATTTATGGCTTCATTTCCTGTGAGTTTTGTAAGTATATATATATCACGTATTTGTCTGGTAGAGTTGTCGTTATCGTTGTTGCTGTTCTGCAGTCACAGGCCGCCTTTTTTCTTCTGATTTTGGTGGCTCAGTGAAGTATAGGGTGTGGGGAAGAACAATCGTATTACTCGTATCCGGTCCAAGTATCTCGTTACGTTATTATCTTGTTCGCTTATTATTAGAACCCATGTAGAACCCCAACTAGCAGTCATATCAGATATATTAACCAAAGAAGACAGACAGAACATCATTTACAAAACCAAACGCAATCACTTTAGTCAACACTATATTGGACAAAGTGGTCGCCCACCTTCACCTTCGTCTACATAAACACCAATTGGCAATTAAACTTCATGACATTTCATCACTCATCGCTCAATCCACATAGATAACATCTATGGACATGAATTCAATTTTGACAGTGTAGAAATTTTAGACGGAGAGAGGAAACACAAAGAATATCATCAGAGAATTCCTAGAAGCTTCTCATTCACGTCAGTCAGTCAGGAATCAATGGATGTATAGATATAGACCCAATCTACAAACCGATAGGAAAAATGATAAACAACAGAAAGGTGAGAGGTCAGGGAGAGGAACAGTCAACATGAAAATCTATGCAGTCAGTCAATGACACAACAATCGAAGGAAACAATCAATGACAAACCAGTTGGTCAGGGCAAGCTCACGGAGAGATATTGACAGCTCACTTCATAGTGAAGTTAGTGCTGATGTTGATGTTGTCTAGAAGGATGATGAAAGCTCAACGATTAAACAACTCAGCTCAGAGAACACAATACAACCAAGACAGATGTAGACTGGCTGGCTACTAGGAAGTGTGGCAGTTTGAGTCGATGTACCATTTGTGTGCGAGGTTCTACGTTGATTTTGTTAGTCGATAAGTCAGTGTGAGAGGTGATTGCCTGTGTTATCCAGCCAAAATGCTATGGACCCTTAAGAGTATTATAATCTTAGCACAGAAGAAACATTTAATTGTTTGATGTATAGAAATCGTAAAATCATGATCTACTGTTTTAGAAACTTAGTAACAATGTAAAACTCACTCCACTAACTTTAAAGGCTTTTATGAAATGAGTATATTCATCAGCTTGCTACACTAGACTACACTCAGTTTGTGTATAGAGCTAATCCCCACCAAAATTGTACATGTGTATGCTTTTCATAAGCCTCATTTTAAACTAGTGATTTCATTGAAGTTACCGATTGAATTCAGGACTTACTTTTTCACCTTTTGAAAACTCGTTTGATGGATATGCATGACTAGACGTTTTGGTATCCTAATTGAGAAAAAACCTCAGTATCTATCTCCTCATGTATGACAACTTTACTCGCCTGGGTAATATGTTGCTACAATAGTACTTATGATTGTAGAATTTGAAGCGGTGAGTGCTACGCTCAAGTTTCCCATCATGGATATAGGTGGATCTAGCTGATAAGTACCGAAAAGGATGAAACTAGCCTTCTGGATTTCACTCTTAGCTACTACCAGATATACAATCCACATGTCATTTTAGGTAAGCAAGCTAAGTATTTCATTTCTGGTATCATCAATGACGGCTATCAAAATTTCCTATTATAATGCCTTAGCATATCTTTCTTGAGCGGTGGTCTTGATATGATAAACAATTTGTTGATTTTCATGGGAACCAATTACGCTGAACAACATTCTTGTCTATGCACTATCCAACAGTAGAATGAATAATCTTAGTGATCATTTTACACTACACTTCAAAGACAGCAAACTATCATCCTCGTCTTCATCGATGTCCCAACCGGGAATTGAACCCAAGCACTTGAGGTCTCTAAACGAGTATATTATCATTCATCCACTGTTTGAGAATTCAGTGGTTCACATTACTTAGTTTCAACAAGTTTAAAATCTTCCTTTCGACTTTTTCCAACCAACAAACACTTCTATCTTGCATTGATGATTGAAACTGAGAATTGTAAGGTTTCAAGGTCATTGGGTTGACTAAGCCATAAGTAAGTATAAACACCCATTGAATATATCGATGGATGGTTAAATTTTACTACGAACTACCTTATACTTGAAACATGTCAACTGCTTGACTTCTTTTAACTTCAGAGTTTTCTCAACAGAAACTTGTCTATGATGAAAGTTGTATTCAAACATCATATACGTGTATACTGACTTTTCTTTGGACGTTTTAAAAGTGTACATACACTTTTCGAGAGGCGTTGATATTCTGATGGAATACAACCTGACTGGGGAAAAACGTCTCAATGTAGCAGTGCACATAATATCCTCAATTATTTTCATAAATTCATCTCTTGCCATCCTGGATTAATCTTAAGGTTTTCAAAATCATCTGGTATACTACACATTTGCAGTTAACTCTTGTTTGGCATTTTAAGCCATTTCTTTACTCTGCTGGATGTACTTGCCTCCCACTGTAACTTCCACTGCTAGCCACTATTCATCTTCACTATAACTAGAACACAGGTATATCGAGGCATTCACACACACATACGTGTATCAATCAACTGAAAGATTTTGACAGATTTTATTATCCTATCTGGAGGTTTGTGGAGATTTACTAATTGACTGTAGCTAGGTATTTGGCATGAATTGACATCAGTTGGAAGAACATTAGAAACCTGAGAGCATTAAGCAGCTGTTTCGTCCTAGTATGGGAATCCTCAGCAGTGCGCACCCATGACCTTCAGGTTCCGTGGCCAGCACGTTACCATTGAGCTATTGGGTGTTTACATCTGCACCACTGACATTGGTTCTTAGCCATATCACCTAGAGTCTATAACCTCTGGTTCCTCTTGTCCTACGGACCCCAACTAGCTAGTTTACATCGCTCCACATGACTCAAACAAACAATCAGCCACTTCCATATACTGATGCCATGTTTTAGTCTGGCCACCTCGAGCCTTTTTTCAGCCTGAACCTACTTCCGCCAACATTGTATGACGAGGCAGACGCGACTGGGCATACTTACCACGTGTCTCAGTCAGCCATCTCAGTCGATGAAGGTTTACAATCTTATCAACTGACTTAACTCTTCTCCTTACCCAAAACTCTACACCTGACTTCTGTATTACTCACGTGGTGACACCACGGAATACGGCCTATACTACGAAGGTAATGGCGGTCAAACACCTGAAGCTGCCTTCTCATGTCTTCCACCTTCAATGGCCATGTTTCACAGCCATACAGTAGAACAGACCGGACTGCTGTGCAGTATACGCAACCCTTAGCAGATAATCGGATATGGTGGCGGCGCCACGGGTGGTGTGAACTGGCAAAAACCAGTTGAATCTTTTATATTCGTGCAGAGATCTCATCAGCCACTGCGTCACCAGGGGAGGGCAGGGCTGATCCTACTCCTCAGATAAGTGAAGCGGTCGACACACTAAATCACTAAACTCTCTATTGTTAGCCGTGGTGTGGCACTGTTGAAGACCTATCCTGGAGCAACAATCTGCATTTGGGTGGTGAGAAACGTATTCCAAACATTCTCAAATTGCTCCTGAAAGTGTCCAGAACACTTTGCGTCTTCTCAGCGTCTTCACTCGACCTTACGAAGAAAAAGCCTTCCACAGTGTGGGTAGCCAAGAAGTATCAACCGCCCTCACAACTCTGTCAGGATTCAAGTTTCTTCAGACTGTTATCCACCTCCCTCAACATTACCTTCCAATCTTTGAGTGGAGTCAACCAAGTCGAATATGAGGACAGTTACTCAAAGACAACATTGATTGTTAACTACACTATTTCGTGAACTGACAGAAGTAGAAAATATGGAACATTGGATTGCTACCCAGTGGCTCAATGGTAACATACTAGCCACGGAACTTTAAAGTCTCTAG